TTTAAAATTCATTTTTTTGTGTAATTTTTAATTTTTTTATAATTTAATTTATGTACAATAACGAAGTAATTTATATTTGGTATAATAATATAATTTTCTTATAAAGATAATAATTAATTATTTTATTGGAACTCGATAATTATCCTAATTATATTTTAGATCTTTTATATTTTAAAATGAAAGGTTTATCTTTTATTTGATTATGTTTATCCTCAGTTAGTTACACGAATTCAAACATGGAGTTTTAATAAGTTGTAATTATGCATAATTTACTCGTATTCTTGAATTTTAAGTAATATGCATCAATATACAATACTTAATGCATAAAAAATAAATTTTAAGAATTTTTGTCAAATATTTTATAATATAGTATAGATACAGATAATGGACTTAACGAAAACTTAAAAAAAGAAAAAGAATTACAAATGTAACAAAATTAACGTACTTAATGGAAAAGATAACGGAACAATAACTATCGCATGAATCTATGATAAAATATTGCATGATATGCCCACAATTGTTGACCGGTCAAGCAGGATAGTTGACTTCTATTTAGTCAGGTTGTCAAGTTTGACTTTTTTGCTTTCTCCTTCTTCCTTCACCTAAAAACATAATTATAACCAAACATAGGGATGAAAAAAAATCCCGATGACAAAAAAATCCGAAACCAATTGTGAAAACCGAAAATCAAAACTTTAGGGTTGGGTATGACGATATTTTATCGGGGACGGAAAGGGGATCTGGGAAAAATTCGGGTGTTTTAACGGGGACGGGGGCGGAAATGGTGATCACCGGCCCGATATATATATATATATATATATATAATATCATTAAAAGAAAATAGTATATTAAAATTAAAAAAACTTTTATCCGTTTTACCTCGACAACCCAAATAAAGGTTACGGAAAAATCTAGTTTATTTGTTTAAAATCGTGATTTTAGTTGTATGATGTTTGAATTTCTGTTTAGTTTTATATTGTAATCTAATACATTGTTTGTAATGGTTCGATTATGTTTGAGACATTAAACTTACATCTTTAAAAAAATTGTAATTTACTTTTAATTGTGAAAATTAGCAGTGTTTCGGTTTCGGGTTCGGTTATAACCAACGGTGAAAAAGAGGATTTTTACCCTAAACGGGTTCCCCAACGAGGATCCGGGAAACCGCGAGGACCCGATGGAGATCCCCGATAAGATCCCCGACGTGGATCAGGGCGGTTACGGGACGATTTTAGCTATCGATTTTGGGGACGGGGATACCAATACCTGACCTGAACCCGACCCGTTGTCATTCCTAACCAAACACAACAACTAAAATGGATCAAAAACTCAGATTTTACAAAAATCTACTTCACTTCGAAAATCAAAAATTTCAAAACTCAAATTTTGATCTTGAAACTTGAAATTAATGATGAAAACATGTTTAGAAACACATTTTATGAAGAACTTATCACAAAAACGCATCAAAGTTTCATAATTTTGCAGAATCTTCATCAAAAAAAATTCAAAAAGACTGTTCAGATAAACTCAAAATTTTATCAAATTCTTTGATTCTTGATGAAATCTTGATAAAAGAAAATGATGTAAAACTTATAGAAAATGATTAAGAAATGATTTGGATTTAAAAGTCAAACACAAAAATCAACAAATCAAATCAAACCCATTTATGTAGAAACTTCAAATTTCTTCAAAAGAATTTGATGAATTATTATACAATTCTTCTGTTTAAGCTCTGATACCAATTGATAATCCCACGATGATCAAGTAACAATTAATCTAACAACCAAGAACAACAACTACAGATGAAATCATATGCATATTGATGAGTTTCTCTCTCTAAAATATGTTTCTCTCTCTACAATCAACAAAATGAATACGTGTAAGTTCATACTACAATCTAAAAATACAAGATCTATTTGTACATGTTAACTAATATAAGTCAAACTATAACTAAACACAAACTATATAACATTGTCAAAGACCTTCCAGCTTAGTGGTAAAGGCTTGGGCATGACATAGTCATGAACCCAAGTTCGAGTCCTGAGAGGGGAGTGTTGGCGACATTTAAGTGGGGCCATGCTTAGCCTCCAAATTTGCCGGGGATTAGTCGGGCTTTGGCCCGGACACCCTTACAAAAAAAAAACTATATAACATTGACTTTTAACAACTTTGACTTTTTTTGACCATGTTGACTTTCATCTTTAAGTCCTTAAATCTTCAATGCTCGGTGACATCGGATGCAATAATATATATTTGACCTGACAGTATAATAATCAATTTTTAACAGTTTGTTTTTATTTTTCTTCCACAATTAACATCCTCATTTCAGAGCTGATGAAAATATAACTTGTTGAATTGAATATAAGCAAAAATCAAAAATGAATTTGAAGGCAAACAGATTCAAACACATATTTGAACGAAAATTCAAGAACAATTTGAAAACAAAGTATGAAAACGATGAATAATACATATCTAAAATTGAGATGAAATAAACTGGAGATGAAATTGACAGATCCGATCAATTTGATTATGAATAATCAATCTGCTCTGATACCAATTTTTGGATCCCAATTCCTATATTGAATTAACGATTTAAACAAAATATGTAAAGTAATTTAGATCAAACAGTTTATAAAAAGATGAACGATTAATCGATATAAAAAAACAATATGAAGATAGAATTGTAGTCATATGATTAATCATGGTCATCAATCTTATAAGGTGAAATAAAGGTTTTCCTATCATACGCTTAAGTTTTCTTTTTCACACTTTTAACACCAAAAATGAGATTAACAGTGTGGATGTTTATTTATAACCTTAAATGTTTTAGAAACTTAGGAATATTCTTTTTAATGAGTATTCATAATGAATAACATCATAAAATATTCATCTAGAGAATTAAGAAGGTTATAAAAATGATAACATAAGTTAAAAATAAATTAACATAAAAGATTAACATGTGTGCATTAGCATATTAGACTATGGTAACTTTGCTAACAAATTCATCAAAACTTGATTTATCAGTGGAACCTCCAACCTATATATATATATATATATATATATATATATATATATATATATATATATATATATATATATATGTATGGGCCCATTCAAGGGAGAACTGGATAGTTTGTGGTAACTGTGAGATCCAATCTCAACCACAAATCAATAGATAAATTAGAAAATTTATAAATTTGGTAATTTTTAATTAAAATTTTAATGCAAGGACATTTTAGGTAATTTCTCTCCTCTCTTCTCTCTCCGTCCCCGTCTTCCGGCCACCGTAATCCGGTGATATCACAGTGTGATACTCAAGCATATATAAGATGCATTGTGATACTACTGTGTTACATATTCGAACGACCGCATAAACGACCACAGTGTGATACCCAATCACATATATGATGCATTGTGATACCACTGTGGTATCACCGGAGGACGGAGGACGGAGAGAGGAGAGGAGATAGGAGAGAGGACTATAAATAACTAAAATACCCTTGCATTAAAATTTTAATTAAAAATTACCAAAATTATAAATTTCCTAATTTATCTATTGATTTGTGGTTGAGATTGGACCTCACGGTTACCACAAACTAATTAGTTCTCATTTGATTAGGCCCCTATATAGGGGCTCATTCAAGGGAGAACTGATTAGTTTGTGGTAACTGTGAGATCCAATCTCAACCACAAATCAACGTATAAATTAGGAAATTAATAGTTATGGTAGTTTTAGTTAAAATTATAATTAGAGGACTTTTTAGGTATTTTAAAAAACTCCTCTCTCCTCTCTCGTCTCTCATCTATCCGACCTCCAATCTCCGGTCTCCGGTGAACATTAATCCGGCAGGTACCAAGTAATCACAAAGATACACAATGTGATACTCATTGTGATATACTATGATACCAACTCAAACCTTAAAAACAAAGTTGAACATAGTAAAATAAGAAAGGTATATACGTGAGACAAAATCTACTAAATTGATACACAATGTGATACCCATTGTGATATACTGTGTGATATCATTGTGATACCAACTATGATACCAACTCAAATCTTAAAAATAAAGATACACAATGTGATATACTGTGATACCGATTTCACCGGAGGTCGGAGAGATGAGAGAGGAGAGAGGAATTTTAAAAAAAATACCTAGTATGCCCTCTAATTATAATTTTAACTCAAACTAACATAATTATTAATTTTCTAATTTATCCTTTGATTTGTGGTTGAGATTGGACCTCACAGTTACCACAAACTAATCAGTTCTCATTTGATTAAGCCCATATATATATATATATATATATATAGCGTTGGGTTCACGTGAGACCAAGGGTTTTCCGTTAGACCCGCAAAACCAATTTATGTTCATTGATCAACTTTATAAGCTAATAATTCAATGGTCTAAAATTGCACGGTGGCAATTTTATGATTATTTGAGGTTACGTAGGAATGTGTCAATTATATATATATAAATCAAACAGTTTGTTTTTTTTTTTAATAAGTGATTAAGTGGTTGTTTGGCATTTGCTGAACGGTTTGGTGCAGAATGATTAAGCGACTTTCATGATATAGAGCAAAATGAAATATAATTGTTTGGTAATTATTTACAATGAAATCAGGGCGCTTAATGGTTAAGAGAGGCTCAGGATACAAAATCACCCTGAAGGTTTTAGAACATTAAGAGCCAGACTTTGTTCTTTACCAAACAAGATTCATCTCTTAATGATTCAGATGTTACCTTTTAATGGAACTATTAAGAGGTAATAAACAACCTAATAGTTATAACCAAATTGGTATATGGAGGGAGAAAAATGAAGCAAGTTTTGCATGAAATGAGGTAAATAGACATGAACATTTTGCTTTGAAATCACATAGAGATGACCATCTACATCCCTTTAACATGAAATCAAGCTTGAAATCAAGTCTATTACAATGGCGGATCACTTGCAAGAACTCAATTACCCTTAAACACTTATCGTCTTCCCGTTACGACGATATGAAAATCCAAATATTAACACGGGCATACGCGTTAACGATCGAAGTCAGCACTCAAGAAACGATTCTTGAAATCAAGCGAAAAATCGAGCATTTTCTTGGTGTTCCAATCTCTTCGCAAACACTTAGCATATACGATTGGGAACTACTCGACGGGCTTGACCTAGAAGACTATCCAATCGTCACCGAAGGTACAAAAATCGATCTCACGATCAATGATCATACGCCATCTCTAGAAACCCGTAGACAAATGCAAATTACAGTTAAATTTTCATCCCGAAAGCACAACATAGAGATAGATATAACGGAAACCGTAGGAAGTCTCAAAGAGAAGATTCATATCATCGATGGAACTCCGATAAAGCAAATGATGCTTTTCTTTTCTGGAGTGGAGATGGATGAGGATTTTCGTAGTTTGAGTGATTACGGTGTTGGTGAGTTCTCGGAAATCGTTGTTTTCTTGAAGACCATGAGTCGATTAGTGACTGAGCCACCTTCACGGAAGCTTGGCTTCGTGGTGCAGACGTCCTCAGCTCTATTCGACTCGACCTGCATCCCGTTGGAGATGAAGGACTCGAGCACTGTGAACGAGTTAAGGGAATTACTATTGGCGAGAAAACTACTACCAATCGACGACTATATATTTATTCACAAACAAAGGATCATGAGAGACAATTGTAGCCTCCGTTGGCACGGGGTCGAAAATGGTGATTATCTTTATGTTTTTAAAGGGACTGTTAGTTAGTCGATTTAGGAGGTCAACTACTCACATACCGCTAGATCAAAGGCCCTTTGATTGTCGGTATTATACTTTTGAAAGCAAGAGATTGGCATTATGATTCATACAAAATATTAGCCCGTTGGAGGGGTATGAATCCTTTGTCGCACGGCTATAACCATTCTTTCAATATACGTTGGAACCTCATTTCTCTGCTCAATGACTCTTTTGGACTGTAATCTAACGGGGTTTCACATATTTTCGTAACATCAGCATTTGGCAATGAATGGTAGCATGGCATATATCGATCAAGCGTTACAGCTATTAACGTCAATAATACATATCTGTAATCGTTTTTTACATAATAAAACCTCGAAAAAGACTTCGTATCTAATCACTTTTGATCGAAATCTAAAAGACCGATTCTAATTCATTTAGTTTCATAACGTTTTATAAATCGGAATCCTAGATACATATACAAAAGTATGTTCGTACATTCGAACTGATATCACGACCTTCGTAATTCTATCATCTAGATTTGATATACAAAACCAAGATTAGCAGGTTGGAAGCTAAAGCGATTCGGAAGTGCTTAAGAGAAACTGATGAGTCGAACCATCCTTGAGGGAATCGAAGAAGAGATAAAGATGGGAACCATCTTCAACACCATACTCAACGAGCAATGCTTCGTTTTCGTTCATCAAATTGTTGCACAAAAGGAGAATTAACCGATCATCTGGCAGCTTTTCTTGAGCTCCGATCTCTTTCTTGAGGTCTAGTACGGTGGCGTTATCGCCAATTTGAACGTAGAAGAGCTTTCCCGTCAAGATCTCGACCACCACCCTCATACTTGTCGAACGTAAATCATCAGTAATGGTAATTGTTTACAACAATTGAAATGAGCGTATTTGAGTGAGAAAAAGAGGGAGAGAGTCATGCATAGCACGAAAAATGGTCATATAGGATGCATTGTCGGGAAGTTGGTTTTGTTTTTAGCATGACAACGGAATAGGAAATTTGTGACTACGTAAAAATGCGAAATCTATGTGTTGTTAGTTTACGTGTCGTAAAATGTATCTTGATCGTAGTTTTACGTGCACGTGAACAAATGTATATATGAATGTTTATACGTAGATATGTCGTAAAAAACTCGAGGAGTATTTTGGTATTTGTCGGAAACCGATATACTTGTAATGAGATATTAAAAAAACATATGTTCGTTTTGTCGTGACAATACTATATATCATGTCTCTAATGACTCGTTTTTTTGAAAAATATGTGACGATGAACACCTAAAAAAGTTAGGTCGTTTAATTCACTACAACAAAATTGGATTTATAGGACACCTCCGATCTCTAAATGTCCCAATAGACCTCTTTATAGGACTTAATTTATAGGAACAAAATGTAAAGCGTCTTATCTAAACGCGTTGTAATAAGTTTATATGACACTTTTGAGCGTCTTAACAAGATTTTAAGGACATTTTTAATATAAAGTGTCGCATTAGCAACCTTATAGGACATTTTTGAGAAATTGTCCTATAAACTCAATTTTTTATAGGACATTTTTTTAAAAAGTGTCTTATAAAGTTGATAATGGAACGTTTTATTAAAAATGTTCTAAAAAACTTATTACGACATCAAAAAAGGTCATATAAACTTAATACAACACCATTAGATATGACATTTTATTTTTTTGGTCCTATAAACTAAGTCTTATAAATAGGTTTATTAGGACACTTAAAATTTTAGAGTGTCCTATAAAACCCATTTTGTTGTAGTGAAAGGAAAGACAAGAAAGCCTTGTTCTTCATCTATCAAGCAGTGGACGAAACAATCTTCGAGAGGATCTCGACATCAACTACGTCAAAGGAAGCATGGGAAATGTTGTATAAAACATAACGGGGAGAAGACATAGTAAAATTTACTCTATGTTGCGAGAAAGGGTGCTCAAAAACCCGACCAACCCGATCAACCCAACTCAATCCAACGCGAAATAACCCAACCCGAAGCAACCTGATGTCTAATCGAGTTGTAAAATTGTCAAACCTTAGGTATTGGGTTGATATTAAGTTACTATTATTTGAACTCAACCCAACCCGATGAACCCGATATCCTTTTATTTATTGGATTTAATATGATTGTTGAATTTCTATTAATATATCTCCTTGCGCTATGAATTGGCTTTCTTGTTGTTAATGAGCCCGTTTTCATTTCGTGGAAGTCCCCGGCAGAGGAAACGAATTCTAACACCCCCTTCCTCCTTAGGACAACAAATGGTCTGTCTCTGGCGACCTGCTACAGTCTACAAAACTCTGTATAACTCATTCAGTAACTGTGAACATATATATGTAAATTGAGAAAAATTAACTGAATGTGATATACGTAAGAAATATAAATAAGTTGTATCAAATGGTTGATGATGAAAAAGAAATTACGAGTAAAGAAATAACATATTCAAAGTTAGAAAAATATTTTAATATACCAAAGTATCAACCCGACCAACCCGTACGGGTTGAGTTGGGTTGGGTTAAGATTGTTCCAAACCTCAAGCATTGGGTTGAGTTGTTCAAATGTCCTCAACCCAATCCATGAGCACCCCTAGCTGCGAGTTTGATGACTTTAGAATGAAAGGACTCCGAATCCGTTGAGGAATTCTACAACCGCGTGATAGTCTTGGTGAATCAAATAAGATTAAATCGCGAAAACATCGAAGACAAGAGAGCGGTGGAGAATATACTTAAAAGTTTAACCCGTAAATTCGAGTACGTTGTCGTTGCAATAGAAGAATCTAATGACTTGTCGTTACTTTCATTAGGTTGCTGCTAAGAGTAGCAAATGGATGAAAGCATAGTGTTCTAAGGTCCTTTAATTCGCTCATCTTTATCCCCGATGTCTAGTGACCATGGTCCACTGGAGGTCCGCTGCTGGTCATCGAACATTTGGCATTAACCATGGGTGGTTAGTGATGGTTAGCACCAGGTTGTACGTGGTTAGCTAGGGTCTGGTCTAGTCTTAAAAAGCAGGCTATCCAAACAAAAACTAAGGGTTAAAACTAGCTACCAATCGTTCCTTAGACCAAACAGAAGACTCCAATTAAGTATATGTTATCCACCTACCATTCTTGAGTCATATGCTTTTCGTTGTTTACCTTTCGTTCTTGCAGTGTAAAAAGGTTGAAAACCCATGAAGAAAACTTGATGCACATGGCTTTATTTCTGTCTATTAATACAAGCTCTTGTAGTCGTAGCTTCCCCACCACATTATAAACCCTTTTCTTTGTTATCTTGATCGAGTATTTGCCGATTACTCCGTATCTAATGGCGGGTTTGGACAAGTGCTCCACTTCTAATGACTGTTCTACTAAATATACAGGTACCCATCTCGAATCTCTCTAGATCTCCCTCTTGATCCACCTCACACAGGTTCACGATCGATTTTAAACAACAGATGAGTAAAACTATCGTAAATAACATCAGTTTTGAGTGTTCTTTATGATAACCCCCAAGATTACGAACCAGAATGTAGGTTTCGTGCTCGTAACTTTGCGTAAATCTTTGTAATGTGTTGTAAACTAATCTCCAGAAGAGCAATCAAGTCGAGAATCGAAGCTTGAATTCTCGGAAGACGAAAAGAATCTCATCACAAGAATGTACAAGCTGGTCGGGGATAGGTGATGAACTCTATCTCTATCTTGTCTGATTTCTGGTTCTGTTTGATCATTTTCTATGCAGTGTCGATGTGATCTTGATACCCATATGAATGACCTTCCTAGACTATATTCGAGATTATTCTGTTTTGTTTTCTTTACTCGTTACGGGTCTCCGAAATTCCATTTATTTTGGGACGAAGAGAATGATCAACGACTAAACGAAGGTACCGTGCAATGACACTCTCAGATGGTCGTTAATTGCTGGAAGAATCCCTGGAAGAACTGCAGTGGAGATTAAGGAGTATTGGACTTCAAGAGTTTCTGCAAACGATTGAGAAATCAAGAACATGGGCATGAGGATGTAAAATGTGAATACTATGAATGCATGTAATCATGTAGATGCGTTAAAACGCTTTGATGTTGAATAAATACTACTGGATATCCAACTTGTTATGCAAGCTGACTAATCCCAAAACGACCACCTGCTTTGTAGATAACCTTGGAGTCACTGCATTTGAACCTCCATGGCCACAAGGGTAAATACTACTTTTTGTGTTTTACATATAGAATCGACTCAGGGAAAGGTTAAGAACGTAAAATAAATGATTGATAGAAGTAAACATAGGTTGATATATGCATCTTCGTACGTGAATAATTGGTAAAAAGTTAAATAAACAAACGTGAGTTTAAGTATACATCTTTAAATGGATTTTTTTTTAGTTTACCAATGATTCACATGTGAATAATTTATTCCTATGTTCTTAGCATTCTTGCATTTCTTATTAGAACCTCCCTGTATAGACTTAATTTTATGATGATAATAGCAAAAATACACATTCGTTAACTATTGTAGAGGGAAAATTGCATCACAATGGAACCAACTTTCACTTGATTCCGATTTTGGGGAACCAACTTTCACTTGATTCCGATTTTGGGGAACCAACTTTCAAAATCGTAATTTAGGGGTCTCTATCAAACTTTTTATTTATTTAAGGGTCTGATTGAACTGTTGAACAAGTAACATGTAATTTAAGGATCTCTATCAAACTTTTGGTTTGATTTGCCAAATTTGATTTAAACTTTAATATTGATACGGATTGGTTAGATATAAAAATCTTGAATGTAATATTTAATATTTATTTTTTATTATATCAATTAATTTTTCTATTAAATTGAATTTTTATTGCATTAGTAAAAAACAATTTTTATTATGGTAATTTGGATTTTTTTTGAAAAAATCTTCAATTTGATATCTGAATTTAAAATAAAAACGAGGTTTGAAATGAAAAATTGATTTTATTGCATTAATTTTTGGAAAAAAATGAATTTTAGTTATTTTTTTTATAATTATTTTGCAAGTTGGTTCTCCAAAATAGGAATCAGGTGCAAGTTGGTTTCCCAAAATGACGATTTTAAAAGTTGGTTCCCAAAATAAGAATCAGGCAAAAGTTGGTTCCATTTTGGTGCAAGTTTCCCTATTGTAGACTATACCAAGGAAATAAACTATGAAAAATGTTCTTCTAATGTCTTTCGCGAACAGTAGATATACGTAGGCGGAAACGGGTTAAGGGGCCAGATTTAACTTGACGAGAAGCTCTTCAAACCAATCATAGACTTTATTGAGATAGGCGTGATCCCCCCTCCGGAAACGGATACTCAATTTAAAGTGAGTAAACAAAATTCCATACTCGTTTCTTCCGTGATGAACTGTTGGCGTCAGTCCTACATTTTGTCTTTGTGGACCGAGGAGAAAGGGGCTAATCATAAACTTCATGTCGACCTTTACAAATTCAATTCATTGTAAATTCTCATATTAACTTGAAGTTCTCTCATAGTTTCCTACAATAAAACGGACCTTTTAGGACGCTTAACCAACATTCGACGTCTTAATAAAGTGCTTAATGTTACTTTAAGTTTATAGGGTAGACCAACTTTCTGTTACAAAGACGTGATAATAAGTTGTTATGACGACTTACATGTATGATACAAGAGGAATATATCTATAGAAACAGGGCCATCAACAACTTTTATCGATTGCTACCGTCATCGGATATTTACCTACTAGAAACCGATAGGTATTCGGCGGCACCGTAACTACAAAACACCATGGCTATTCCGGGCTCATCGAGTAAAAGAAATGCATCGGTAATTTGTCGCCGAATATATGTGCTTTACCGGCAACTTTGTGATGGCATAAGTCGTCATGGCTGAAAATTAAACTTCTACTGAAACAAAATTGGGTTTATAGGACGTCACCAATTTATAAGCATCCTAATAAATTGTTTTATAAGACTTAATTTATATGACCAAAAAATAAAATCTTCTATCTAAAGACATTGTAATAAGTTTATAGGATGATTTTGGACGATTTCAGGACAATTTTGATACAAAGCGCAACATTAGCAATTTTATATGATACTATTTAAAAAAGTGTCGTATAAAAACATATGTCCTATAACAAGATAGGTTTCTAGGACACTTTTAAAAAAAATGTCCTATAAAATTGCTAACGTAGAGCATTATATTAAAAGTGTTCTAAAAAACTTGTTAGGACGTCCAAAAACGTCCTATAAACTTATTACAACGCATTTAGATATGACGTTTTATTTTTTGGTCTTATAAACTAAATCTTATAAAATAGTCGATTATGACGCTTTTTTCATTCCACATGTGCAAGCAACACATCAACTATCCATTCCTCACTTGGGGGATATGGATATTGAATCGGAGGAAAGTCTCTCCCCTCCTCACTACTCCATTCACGTGTCTAGTTATTAAACATATATATGAATGAGTTATATAGAGATGGTGAATAAATTGAAAATATGTATATATAAAGAGCGTACGTGATAGTGTAATTGTCTAATGTATATATCAATATAAACTCAACAATCATATTAAATCTAAGAAACAAAAGGCTATCGGGTTCATTGGATTGGGTTGAGTTCAAATAATAGTAACTCAATATCAACCCAATACCTACGGTTTAAAATTTTTACAACTCGATTAGACATGATGTTGCTTCGGATCGAGTTATTTCACGTTGGGTTGGGTTGGTCGGGTTTTTGAACACCCTTAATCACAAGCGTTTGTCATGATACTATGATTGTCATTTAAATCTGAAAATTAAATAATCAGTAGATTCTCTTGTGATATCGACTGTCATTTGAATCTGAAAAACAAATAATCATTAATGTAAATGACATTTTTTTTTAATTCATTAGACTTTGCTAATGATTTGTTGATAATTCGAGAGAAATAGTATACATCGACAAAGAAATGGTATATGACCATACGTACTTTGCTACCCGACAACTTCTACGACTAAAAAAGTAAATGGTCATATAAAGACTGTTCCACTTCATCAACTTAATCTGTTAAGTCGGTCACCTAACTTTGTCCTAACAACTATTGTAACGTCATTGTATAAGATGCACAGTTAACGAGCTTATAAACTTGAAGTATCATTAAGCAGTGACGGATCCAGAAACTAGGGGTGTTCACGGTCTAGTTTGAACGGCTTAACCCCTTAGACCACAAATCAAACCGTAATGGCGGTTTATAAAATTTTCAAATCGAACGGTTTGACATCAAGTGCCCAGACCGTTTCAACTAGACCACGAAAAGGCGGTCTAGTCTGACCGGTTTAGGCGGTTTGAGCCTTTAATGGACTTTAAATATTAAACTTAAAAAAAAATATATAATTTATAACTTTATATTAAATATCCATTTTGATTATGTTAGATGTTAGACTTTATGTTGGGTTTAGAGATATATTTGAGCCATAGTCCATAAGTTAAAAAAGTTGGGTTTGCTAATATTAAAATAAATAATTAAATATATATATACATATATATATATATATACATATATATATATATATAGGGGTGAGTTCAAATAAAAACCACTCAATTTGTAAAAACTGTGAAAACCTCATTCAACCAATCATAATTTTTCATTTTGTTCATTTTTTTATAATTATGAGAGGTTGATTAACCATTTTTATTGTAGAGGGTGTTAATCATGGATATTATCATCTTCATTATTTTAATTTTAGAGAAATACATGAAACAGTTTCATTAAAATTTYATTAAGTAGTATATGAAACAATTTCATAACCACATATGAAACAACTTATCAAAAAAAGTATTATATGAAACAATTTCACAAGATTAACAATTTTATGAAAAAATTTCATAAGATTATCGATGGATGAGAGTAGTTTTTACGTTTTTACAAATTGGAGTGGTTTTCATTTGATCGCTCATCTCTCTCTCTCTCTCTCTCTCTCTCTCTATATATATATATATATATATATATAGCGGTCGATTTGGTCCAAACCGCGCAAACAATGTTCCAGACCAGACCGGACCGCCCGATTTTGCTATTTTTCAAACCAAACCAAACTGCTAGATCGCTCAAACCGCCAAAAACGGTCCGGTTTGATTTGGTTTGTCCGGTTTGAGCGGTCCAACGGTTTTTTTGAACACTCCTTACCAAAAACTTAGATAACTAGTGTCACAGGGTATAAAAAATCAGAAACCGAATAACTCTCCCCAACCAAAACGGTTTTGAGTTATTCAGTTTGCGGGTTAAGCAGTTCAGTTGACAATAAAACGTTTGCACAAGGGTCAACGCCATAATTAATTCATTTTGTAGACCATTTTTGTAACATTGTGTAAACCATAAGGACTAAAATGTAATTAATAAAAACCAAAAGATGGAGAATATAGGAAACAAGAAGGAAGTTTCGTCCTCGAAGTACTAAAAATGATCGAAACAAATCCCAAGAAACCTCCTCATCCTATCGTTTGTCTCCTTATGATCCTATCAATTATTTTCTATCTTTTACTTTTTTCGATTTCGTTACTTAGATATCTGTCCGATATCGTTAATTACTGATATTGTCGATGAATATTTATATCGACCATCATATATACTGAATTGAACGGAAAAACGTTTTGCATAGATCAAGATGTAGATTCTTGACATATCAAGTTAAGTCGTATTGATTTGTCAGATATATCATTCACTTTTTAAAAAGTTAAACTGAATTAAGGGACTGTTTGACAATTGTTGAATGATTTGATGCAGAATGATTAAGTGGTTAAGAGGCTCTCATGATATATTGCAAAATGAAATATAACTGTTTGGTAATTGTGTACAATGAAATTAGGGCTCTAAATGATTAAGAGAGATTCAAGATACAAAATTCTTCAGAAGGTTTTAGAACCATTAAGAAAAAACAAGATTCACATCTTAACGATTCAGAGATTGTCTCTTAATGAAACTATTAAGAGGAAAACAAACAACCCCTAAGTTGTAGTTCGAAATTGGATTTTTTAAAACATCAAAATGAATAAATTTACGATATATGAAAGAGAACGAAGGGGCAGAGTTGTCTTTTACTCAAAT